TGATGGTCGAGTGAGCCTTTACCTCCAGGGTATTCCACTCATCGTCATCGACCACTGCCTTCTTCTATTTCATAGACAGCGGGCCCCATATCCCTTGGTGTTCCAATAAAGCTTGCATCCTGATCTGCCATATCCAAAAGTGTTCTTCCACGTGAACTTCTCAATCTTCATGTTTACAAACGTCATTCTTCATAATCGAAGCCCTAGCCTGATTTCCAACTAATGCTCTCATACCACTTGTCACGACTGTTTTGCTGCAGATCGAGAAATTGGAGGATTCGACAATGCAAGAAAACAAAAGCACACACACACAAAACACACGATTTACATGGTTCACTAATACAATGTGTGTTAGCTAGTCCACGGGCAGGAGAGAGTGAGTTTCACTATACTTCAAGCAGATATAGATTACAAAGGAGTATAAGAATTATTTATATTACTTCTACAAGGTCTAACCATGATCCAATATGATAAAGGAAAAGCAGTCATAGATCAGGCCCAGAACACGAACCCAAACAACATTGAGCCCATACAACAGTTAATGAGGAGTATAAGAATTATTTATATTACTTATACAAGGTCTAACCATAATCCAATATGATAAAGGAAAAGCAGTCATAGACCAGGCCTAGAACACGAACCCAAATAACATTGAGCCCATACAACAGTTAATGAGACCCCCGTAACTTCCAGCGTAGCGGCTAATAGTCCGATTCAAGTCACATCAATACTGATATTGGCATTGCACGAAAACCTCATGTACACACCATTAAGACTTACCCATATTTGTTGTCGCTATGCCTAACCTAGGCCCACCATCCTGGAAAAGTCCAATTTTCTAAATCGTGATGTTCAAGCCAATTTGCACCTTCCATATGTATAGACCAGATATTCTTCATTTTTTTGTTCGTACTCTTGACTTTTGAGATTGATAGACAATAACTGCAACATTGGAAGACATAAAACCCTCATATTAAATCAAGTAGTATGCATTCCAAACAACTAATATAAATAAAAAACCTTATTTTGTACACTATGTTAGGGAAGAATGGATTGATCCAGGGGTAATACCACTGATCTTGAACTTAGAGGTCATATGTTCGAATTTATTAAGTAGTGCCTAATTAAAAATCAAATCTATATTGCCTTATAAGAAAGTATACTATGGTAAAGGGATGAAATAATGCATACTGTTCCACCATAAATATATTTGGACGAACATCAAGCTGAATTCATGTTCACAATTGTTGTTGATATGCAGTATACATCATGACCACTTTAACCTAAGCTTCTTGGCAAATCATAAATAACTTATGAAAGTCCATGGTGGCGATAAAATATAATGGCATTATCCTTTCATCAACATTCGTGGCAATCATGAGGGTGCCCTGTATTTCCTGATGAGAAATGTGTCATCCACTTGGATTATGGGGAGAAATAGATCCCAACCATTGGTGCAGGGTTAGATTCCCAAATTAGATGGTCAAGTATAGAGGGAGCGGTTATGACGATTTTTATTTTCATAGTAATTACCATGATTACTAAGGGAAAATTGGGTATGACAAAAAATTTATTAATTATTATTTTAATAAATTACATTTTAGATAGTTACAAAAATATAACAATTACAATTTTCTCTCTCTTTTTCTCACTTCTGCAATCTCCAGCCAGATTTCTCTTCCTTTTTTTCTCAATATTATCTTTGTCTCCGTTCATTGAAAAAATGCCACTGCAAAATTAAAAAAATAAATCAATACCAATCCATTTGAAAACCACTACCACTTTGAAAAACACCAATACCATTGCACAAATAAATCAATACCATTATGGAAAAATAATACAATTACAGTAAAACTACCAATAGAACAATATATACCATTACAGGAGTTGAACCAATACCAAAATCAACCAATACCACTACTAATGTGAAATCCGAACAATACCATTGCAGAAATAAATTAATACTATTATGAAAAAACTACCATTATGAAAAACAAAACTATAGCATTTCATAAAACAAAACAATAAAAGCACATATCTGAAAACCGCTCGAAAGTGTCGGTTCGTCATCGCCGAGTAATGAGAGAGAGAGAGAGAGAGAGAGAGAGAGGGGGGGGAGGCGAAAGGCGGGTTGTGGTAGGGGGGGGGGGAGTGGAGTGGAGGGGGTGGAGGCGGTGGTCGTGGAGTGGGGTGGCCGGGTGGGGAAGGAAGGAGGGAGGGAAGGAGAGGTGGTGGTGGAGTGGGAAAAAGGGTCGGCAGTGGAAGGAGAGGGTCGGCGGGAGGCTGGTGGGGTGAGGGGAGGAGAGGGAGTGCCAAAGCTTCTCTTCGGGGAGAGAAGGATATTGGTGGATTTTAGGGTTTTGGTCTTTTGGGAAGAGGAAGAAAGATAATAAATCATAAATATAGGTAATAATTTGGTGTGTTAATATTTTTATTTCAAAATTATCTTAATTTAATCTTGCTTGATATTTTAAAAAGGGAAAATAGAGGTAATTAAGGGTTTAGATGTAGGTTGTTATGATAGTTACTAAAAAACTAGTATCCATCTAACCCATTCACGGTTATGATAGTTACTAAAAAAGTAGTATCCATCATACTAAAAAATTAGTATGAAATGGTAATTCATACTAATCACCATGGTTATTGAGGACAAATTGGATATGAGATTGTTTTATTAATTATATTTTTAATAAATTAAATGTTAGGAAGTTACAAAATATATTAATTACAATATAATTTCTTTCTCTCACTTCTACAAACTCCAGTCAGATGTCTCTTTCTTCATTTTCTAAATATTATTCATTTCTCCGTTCAAGCAAAATAATAACATTGCAAAAATAAAAAAAGAAATTAATACCAATGCGTTAGACAACCACTATCGTTTCAGAAAACACCAATATAAATAAATCAATATCAATATGTTAGACAACCACTACCATTTCATAAAACGCCAATATCATTGCAAAAATAAATCAATACCATTCACTAAAACTACCAATATAAACAATCTATACCATTGCAAACCAATACTACTACTATGAAGTCAAACAAATACCATTACAAAAATAAATCAATACCATTGTGAAAAATAAAACTATATCATTTCATAAAACGAAATAAATAAATCAGTACCAAAAGAATAAACTCAGATCTAGAATCTCTCCTAGAGAGAGAAAGGAGGGGAGACCCTGGCCGGCAATGGCAGCAGGTGGCCACTGAGTGAGAGAGGGCATGGGAAGGGAGAGGTCGGGGTGGGTGGGGTGGCTGGAGGTAGAGAGAGATGGTGTGGGAGGGGAGGAGGATTTGGATGGGGCGGCGGGAGGTAGAGAGAGAGAGAGAGGGCGTGGGAAGGGAGAAGGGTTGGGGTGGGGCGGCGGGAGGTAGCAGAGGGAAGGTGGTGGTAGGAGGGCGTGGGAGGGTAGGAGGGTGGGGCGGCGGGAGGTAGCGGAAGGGGTGGGTGGTGGTAGGCGGCGATTACGGGGTGAGGGCGCGAGGCGGAGGGAGGCAGCTGGGGAGGGAAGAGGGACGACGGTTAGAGAGATGAGTTGCAGTAAGTTTAGAGTTTGGGTACAATATATATAGTAATCGGGTGTGGAAATTTTGGTAGCCACCGTGATTACTAAAAATTAAGTAACCCCACTAACCTATCCTGTCAAGTATAATTTCACCCTCTATGCATGATTCTCTACATATGTGCATGAAATCTTACTAGTGATTTTGGTCCTCGATTGCCATAATTATTCGAGGGAGATAAACAAAAGATCCAACCCAATCATCATACACGTCATCCACAGCATTTTGTTGTCTATTCCATGCTTTCTCACTACAAGAAAACCAGTCTATAGACGCAAATAATTAGAGGCAATTGTTGTAGTGGTCTCTATATCTAAACTTTAGAAGCAAATATATTATTTATCTCAGTAGATGAAATTATTTGTCTCTATAGACAAATCTAATAGTCTATAGAGACAAATACAAATGTTGCTCATAGTTATGTCATATAGAGATAAATTTAATAGGATTTAGGGGTCGTTTGGAAGTTGCGAATGTTAAATCGTTGCATTGTAATGAATCACCATAATATAAATGCATGTGATGATACAATGGATGCATTTTAACAATACATTGTTTGGTTGTTGAGATTCTACTTTATGCATTGATTTACATAAAGTTACTTTTATGGGGAAATGTCACATTTAACCTAAACTTTTAGAATAAGACAAAAACTATTGGGGATATAAATGGAAAGAAAAAGTTGACACAAATCTAAACTAACAATCACAACTAGTTGAGATTGTATAATGCATCATTTTTAGTGATTGTTATAAATGCTCCTAATACAAATGTCAAATAGACGGAAAAAATAGTATTTAGAGACAAATACAAATGTCTCTTATAATTATGTCATATGAAGACAAATCTAATAATCTTTAGAGACAAATACAAATGTCACTAATAATTATGTCATATGAAAATAGTTTTAGTAGTCTTTAGAAACCAATATAAATGTTACTTATACCCATATCTTTTTTTTTTATGGTTTACTTATACCCATATCATATATCTACTATTTAGAGACAAATACATAGGCTCCTAAAACACTAATTTGAATTGGTGGTGTTGTGTAGGTTTAAGTAATGAAAAAAAAATATGCTCTATAAAACCCCTTGTGATGTCTACATTGTATTCATTTAATTTGTTCACAATCATTAATTATCATATATATGCGCATGATTCCTTTTTAAATTATATTTTTTAAATAATAATTGACCTTTTTTTTTCAACCAAGTGTTGTCTGCTTGGTTCTTAAAATGGGCCTCGCTATTGGGGAAGCCCAATTCTGACTTTGTTGAAGGAAATGGACCTAGTCACTCTTCAGCTTATGAATGGGGCGGCCCGTAGGGTTGGAGGAGAAACACTCTCCTTCCTTTCCTCTGATCTCTAGCGCCGCTGCCCGCTTGTATTTCGTCTTCCTCTCCCTTGTTTTTATTTATTTATTTATTTATTCTCGTCCCTTATTTTGTACCCCAACTGATCAAATCACCCAACAAGGCAACAACAATAGCACATATCAACGGGGATGGTGATGACGATGGGAGGCACGGTGGCTTGCTGACCGCAACACAGATCGGTGGCGGCAGGGAATCTATGGCAGATGGCGGTTGGTGACTGACGACGAAGGCAGATCGACTTCGATTCGGAGGAGCAGCGGACGAATGGAGAGAAGCTGATTGCAGCGGCGATGGTGAAGACTGAAGACAAACGCGCTGATCTATCTTTCCGGCGGCGAGAGCAGGTGACAGTGGCGAACTTTGCTGCTCTGCGTCTTCCCTTCGACGACCGACGAGGTTGGCGATGTGTTTTCCCGGCGAGAAAAACTAGATGAACAGAATTGGATTTTGCACCTTTGTCTTCCAAACGAACGATTAACAAGCACGGTCCACACCTCTTTGAACAAAGTTCAAACAAGGGTGTTCGATGTTCTTGATGATCTAAGAGGCAAACTAAATTACATTAACTCTACTCCTATGGAGGTTCAGTGAGAGCTCCGAAACTACAACTATGGCTATGACTACATTTGCAGAGGAAAAGGTAAAGATAAAAGGATAAAATTTGACATTGTGTTGTCTGGTGTGATTTTGGCGAACCCTTCTCTGTCATCTTCACCTCCTATTTATAGCCATAAGAAGTAACTGCCACAAGAAACTGCTCTACTGTCGTGGAGTGACAGTTACCCTCTCAACTGCTTCGACGGTTACCTTGACGTTGGATGTAGACCAATCTTGGCCTCTCCTCTTGAGACCTCACTCCATGCTCTTGGTATCCCCTCCGTAGCTTTGCTTGTCTATAGAGAAAAAAATGGCTAAGGCATGAAAGCAGACCACATGCCACATATGGGTGGGTACTCGAATCACTTGAGTCAAAAATGGCAAAAATACTTCACCATTACAGGAGTAGGGAGACCACGTGCCCACCTGACCCCCCTTGACCACCTCACGAGGGTGATGTCTTGGTAGCCCCCCCTGGCAACCTCATGGGGGCGATGTTGACAATGCCCCTTGGCCATACCATGGGGCGTATGCTGGTGACCCCCTGACCATACCACATGGGTGAATATTAATCACCGCCTTGATCATCTCATGGAGGGTTCTCCTTGCCATCCTTGGTGATCACCCTCGTGCCATATCCTGTATGAGGATCACCCCCTGATCATACCATGGGGCCCCCATCCTTCTCCATACTTAATCGTATTTCACACCCCATGGGGGTTGGTAATATGACCCCCTCACTACGTCCTGAGTCACCCCCTTACCACGTCATGGGGGTGGCAATATGGTACCCACTCCCTTGGTACCTCCTGGGGGTGGCAGCATGATGCCCACCCCCCTTACCACGTCCTGGGGGTGGCATGATGGTGGCCACCCCCCTTACCACGTCCTGGGGATGGTATGATGTCCACCCCCCTTGCCACGTCCTGGGGGTGGTATGATGGTGGCCACCCCCTTGGTACCTCATGGGGGTGGTTATTCTTCTCTTTACCTTAGCCAAATTCTGCCATCACCCCCCTCACCATGTTATGGGGGTGCCTTGGTACCTCCTGGGGGTGGCAGTATGATGCCCACCCCCTTGCCACGTCCTGGGGGTGGTATGATGGTGGCCACCCCCCTTGGTACCTCCTGGGGGTGGCTACCATACTCCTTGCCTTAGCCAAATTCGGCCATCATCCTTCCTTGCCACATCCTGGGGGTGGTGGTATGATGCCCACCCCCCTCTGCGTGTCATGGGAGTGGCTCCCATACTTAGTCAAATTTGGATATGCATGGCACGCGTGGTGGCACGGAGTAATGGGCCCAAAAACCCAATCCTCATGGCCCACTCAACTGATTTAAACTGATATGATTAAGTTGGCCTTATAAAACCATTTAATTCCTTGTTTTTAACCGATGTGGTACAAGGTTAATTTTTATGGGTAAACAAATGCCCCCAACTACTTAGTGCATAAGAATTATGGACTAAGTAGTTTCACACTAACTAGGCCATCAAACTTAAATAGTTGGCCTTACAATTTAAATGACCAAAACAATCCCAATTTCTTCTCCTTTGCTGCCATGTGGGAGGAAGGAAGGGAGTCAAACATAATTATTCCATAGTCCTTCCATCTCGACACAACCGTGCCCCCCATGCCACTGTGACCACCAACAGTTATGGTCACTCTTAAATCACACGGCGTGGTATCTTTTGAATTTATTGGGCTAGAACAACATCATGCCCCCTAGTTAATCCAAACTACTACTAATCATACCCCATGCCATTCACCATCACCTCCATGTCTTGTCATGGGGTATGGTTCACATCTTAGCACCATTTTAAGGTTTGGCATGGGGTTAGGCCACCTTAGTGGCCTAGCAGTCTCAAAACTTACAACAACCCACGTCCCAAAGAGAAGGGACGTAAGGTTTCAAGTATTTTCCGTTGATTAAACGTTCATGGAACACTCCATCGAGATCCTTTAGTAAATAAGCTCCATTGGGACGAGTAGAATGAATAATGAAGGGTACACGCCAATTAGGAGACCATTTACCAAACTTGGGATCCTTATCTCCAATGGGAAAATGAAGCTTCCATACCAACTCACCTTCCTCAAATGACTTGTGCCTGACTCTCTTATTGTAAGCACGAGCCACCTTATCCTTTTTTACCCGGATATTATCGAGAGCTTTGAGTTGGAGCTCATCAAGATCACATAATTCCAACATCATGGACTCATAGTAATCAGATGGTGCTAGCTCATGTTGGCGCATGTATCTTAATGACTTAACAGTCACCTCCACCGGCAAGAATGCTTCATGGCCATAAGTTAGCATAAAAGGGGTCACCTTTGTACTACTACGTGGAGACATCCGATAAGCCCAATAAGCTTCAGATAAGACTTCATGCCACTTCCTCGGGTTATCCTCTATCATCTTAGACAGAATACCCTTCACCACTTTGTTAGAAGCCTCTGCTTGACCATTGGCTTGGGCATAGTATGGTGTGGAGTGTATGATCTTGATACCATACTCCTCAGCAAAAGCCATCACCTCTCCTCCGGTGAACACAGTACACTGGTCAGCTGTTATGGTGGCTGGCAAGCCGAACCTATGTATTATATTCTCTTTGATGAACTTGATGATTTCTCCTTGATTGACCACTGTCATTGGCTTGGCCTCTACCCACTTGGTGAAGTAATCAGTTGCCAAGATGACAAATGTATGTCTATCAGAAGATGGTGGATAAATCTTTCCAATCAAGTCCATGGCCCATCCCATGAAAGGTCGAGGCTTGATGATAGACTTCAAGTCGATGGCCGGAGCTCTTTGTACAGGGCCATGTCGTTGGCAAGCCTCACACCCCTTAGCAAAAGTGGCACAATCTTCCCCGATGGATGGCCAGTAGTACCCATATCGGTGGAGTACCCATCTCATAGAAGGGCCTGCTTGATGAGCCCCACATATCCCTTCATGAACTTCACCCATGGCTTGTAGGGCCTCCTTGCCCCCCAATCACTTCATTAGTAAACCGTCTGGTCTCCTTTTGAATAAGACCTCATCCAACAAGACATAGTTCCTTGCCTTGAATTTGATGGCTCGATCCACATCCCCTATTGGGTTCTTCAAGTATGCTACCAAGGGGGTACGCCAGTCACTGGCCTCCTCTTCAATGGTAAACACATCCACCCTTTGCTTCAATCTCTCATGCAATGGGTTGAGCCTTCGGACAAAAATTTGCTCTCCCCCTTCATGAGCAAACTCTTTGAACCCCGAGGCTAGCTATGCTAAGTAGTTAGCCTTGCCATTGTCCTGGCGAGGAACATACTTGATGGAGACATTATCAAAGTGGGTAATTAATATTTGGACATAGTCAAGATATGTCTCTAGTATGCAATTGATGCATCGAAATTCACCAAGTACTTGGTAGACTACCAGTTGGGAGTCCCCTTGGATATTAACACTTTTGACTTTCAAGTCAACAAGCATCTCCAGGCCCACCACTAAAGCCTCATACTCGGCTTGATTGTTAGTGCATGGGAGATCAAGTGTAAAGGCAAAGTGCATGGCATGCCCTGATGGGGAAGTGAGGACCACGCCAGCACCCGCTCCAGACCGTGTCTTTGATCCATCAAAATACAAGGTCCAAAAGGCTTCCTCCACCATGTCTATTTCTACTAACTCAGCTGGCACATCCACACATGGGTGGTCAGCTAAGAAGTCAGCCAATGCTTGGCCCTTTATGGCCTTTTGAGGCACATATTGCAAGTTGAACTCAGATAGTGCAAGTGTCCACTTGCCAATTCTCACATGAATGATTGGCCGGGACAACATGTACTTTATTATATCGGTCTTACATATGAGTTGCACTTGAACAGGCATCAAGTAGTACCTTAGCTTCATACAAGAAAAATACAAGGCTAAACATAACTTCTCTACAGGGGAGTACTTTTGTTCTGCCTCGTTTAATAGTCTACTTAAGTAGTACACGACCTGTTCATGGTCAGAGTCATTATCTTGAGCCAACAGACACGCTACAGAGGTGTTAGTGGCTGAAAGGTACAACTTCAATGGCCGATGCGAGATTGGAGAGTTGAGTACCGGCGGGGTTGCCAGGTACTTCTTGATTTCATCAAAGGCTTGTTGATGCTCTTTACGCCATACAAACTCATCTTCCTGCTTTAACTTCAACAAAGGAGAGAAGACTTGGGTTCGGCCAGCACAGTTCGAGATGAAACGTCGAATGTAGTTAACTTGGCCGAGGAACCTCTGAAGCTCTTTCTTATTACTTGGTGGCATGGCCTCAATGATGGCCTTGGTTTTGCTCTTATCAACCTCAATGCCACGTTGGCTCACAAGGAATCCTAAGAAGTCACCTGCAGACACACCAAATGCACACTTAAGTGGATTTAACTTCAAGTTATGGCCTCTCATACGTAAAAAGGCCATACGAAGATGAGATAAGTGTTGACTTGTTACCTTAGATTTGACAACAATGTCATCCACATAGACCTCAACCAACTCACCAATCAAGTCATGAAAGATAGCATTCATGGCTCGTTGGTAAGTGGCACCAGCATTCTTCAACCCGAAAGGCATGACGAGCCACTCATAGCACCCTATGGCTCCAGGACATCTGAACGCGGTCTTGTGGATGTCTTCCTCGGCTAAGTAGATCTGATTATAGCCTGAGTAACAATCCATGAAAGAAAAGATCTTATGCCTAGTTACTGCATCAAGCAACATGTCTGCTACCGGCATTGGGTATTCATCTT